TATAGTCGTACACAGTAGTGCACATATCATTCCTCATGTTGGAAGGCACTTATATAACAACAGGAGGAAATGCCTTAATGGTAATGGATTCGGGTCATTAAGAATTCAGTTTTAATGGTTTTTAGTACTCTGTATAGCCAAAGTGCAATTTTGTGAAAGGACTTCTATGAATGTAGAGCAGGATCCGCTGCTACAATTCCATTAGGGAGCCTGCATCGTTGCTTGCAACTATATCTAATCACTTATCTTGCACAGTGGATATGTCAAAGTGTTTACATGTCTAGGTTTACTTAAACAAACGCAGTCAATAACGCAGATTCCGAGAAAAGTGTGTTCAGCTGAATGCTACTTCCCGCTTAGTTTACAAGACAAGACGCATGGTAATCTTAATCTCTGCATATAAAACAATGCCAATCACAACAGGAAATACAATTTAATCGGCTAATCATTATGTATAGTGATGTTTCATCTCAAATTTCAAATTTGTATTGACCAAGTTTAAATGATATAATCTGTTCCATTTCCCTGAATTCACTGAAGGGCTACGATGTAATTTTTTTTTCTGCGGAAGACAAACACAGTTTTATTGCAAATATAGAGACTTTGTATGCACTAGTGATATGCTTTATTCCAATTTGCGTTATTGACGGGGTATATAAATTAGAATTGATTTCCCGCTTATTTTATGAGACAAATAACCTCTGCATATGAAACATTGTCCCTCATACAGTACACAAATAGTAGTAGTATCAGTTAGGTCATCTAGATTAATATCATCCATTTTTATATTAAACATAAGGTTACATAATTTCAATATAAAGAATGTCTTCGCACTACAGGGGCAAATTAAATTCACAACGTAGACTTTCGGGATCCATTAGGAATCAAAGCAATTCGCCAGTCTGTAACTATAACTAATAACCCGAGTACCATTGATCAGAATCAAACACTTCTGGTTCGCTTATCTCATCTAGATGCTCACGATGTGTTAGTTCCAGGAACTGCACGACTATCATTTACAATTAGTTTGACTTCTACTGATGTTAACAGGGAGCTTGTTCAGAACATAGGCCGGGCAATTGCAAAGAAAATCACAACTAAAATTAGCGAACATACATGGATCTATGGAGAACAGCCAAAGAACGGGAAAACTTACAGTATCAAGGTATTGGTAATAAAAATTCAATGAGACTGTGTGTGGGTGCTGATAGTGGTGATAATACCATCCTAGAAGATAAGGCTGTTGCTGATGCATTAGGTAACCGATTATATATTCCGCTTGACTTTGAATTACTAGAGAGTCACATGCCCTTCTATCAAGCATCCCTGGGAGATAGGTTAGAATACTTTTAATGACTACCACAGAGTAATCAAAACCATTGACGAAGCTAGCTATTCCATTGATAATATCTCACTGGAGTATGATATGATAACAGATCCTAAATTAGCCAGACCAATTCGTAACCAGTATACAGAAAATTTAGCCATTTTGTACGATCCCGTTCTAAGACACCAGAAGGCATGTCAACAGTGGGATGAGATTAAAAAACTCCCTTCTATAATACGAAGCTCAGAAGAATACAGTTACAAAAGATATGGCTCTTGGGGATGTATAGCTGGCTGAATTCCTTACCACGAAGTATGCACTATGGCTCGACATGCGAACCACAGATGATGACCAACTACACGGGCAGAGAATAGAGAATGCTAGTGAGGGTGTTACTATACAGATAACGAAGAAGGCCAAAATGGCTGGTAAATTAAACTTATATTTATACATGATTATGGACGCGCAACTTTATATAAAAAATGGAAGATTCGTGCAAGTGATCTATTAATAATCTTATACCTAAAGAACTGCCCTGCGCTATCATCTGTGGACAAACGGGTTGCAGAAAAACAGCTGTTTATTCTTGATATTTTACAAAGCCGTTATTACAATTTTTTCGCCAATATTATTATTCTGTGCCCGGCCATAAACGTTTATAAAGCATACCTATCAAGAGATTGGGTTATGAAAGATCCCGCGGTGCACAAAGTTGATCCGGGTGATCGTTTACAAGATTGTTTATGAGTATGCCACGAAAAATACAAAGGAGAATCAACCCTTTTCTTAATAGACGACTGCAGTGGAAGTAAAGAACTTACCAAAGAGAAAGATATGCTTTCATATTTAGCATTCTCCGGACGACATATGGAGCATAGAGTTTGGGTACTTACTCAAAAATACAACGCTGTCCTGAAAGAAGAGCTGTCCAAATGGGTTGCCTTGTTTCATTGCAAAGACTGAGATTCATTTGAGGAATATCTAAGAGAAAATGATGTTATTTCTACCAAGCTCGAGCAAGATAAAGTCAGAAAATGTTAGCAGAAACGAAGCAAAAAACCGATCAACCAGCTGCTTAGGCAATTGCTTAGCAAAATTTAGCAACTGCTAAGCAAACTTTAGCAACTGCTCAGCAAATTTAGCAACTGCTTCGCAAACTTTAGCAACTTTAGCAAATTTTAGCCATTTTTTGCTTTGTCAATAGTTTAGTAACTGATCCCATAAACTCGCGACCAGGAACTACTTGAAACAACTGAGGCAATTTAATGGTTCGCGTTTATATATGCGGCCTAGTGCATTAGCTACCTCTGTTGAATCTTTTGAGGTTAATGGTTCAGCCTCCTTGTACCAACAAGCTACATCTACTATTTTTAAAGCGTATTTATATGTTTTGCGTCTTACCTTATCAATCTGATGAACCTCATTCGTTGTAAAACTATCAAACTTTTTCCTCGGTCTACAACGCGGGGCTGGTTAGTAAATTTGCTACATTGCTTGTTTCTTTAACCAATCTTTGGCAACATCTTTAGATATCTTAGCCGCTGCAGCTAGTTTTTGCATTGCCCCTATACCTTTCCAATATCCTCACGGGCAATAGTAAATTTTATCTATCATTAATTAATATTGATGATTCTTTTATACAATCCATGACGATTATTGGATCGCATCGCATGATTTGCATAAAAAATTACCTCTGTAGTAGCATTATTGGGGTATGAATCTGGTCTAGGTGGCAGTGCGGTAAATACCCCTTTTCATTACAATTTAGCTGAGTCGCATGACGATCCTTGGATAGTCATCAAATAGTTCACATAAACTGAACATCCAAATGAACCTGATAGAAGCTAAGATTTGGGCAAAAGCATGCTCCATACGTGGTGTTCTCACCTTTGCAGCAGAACCCCCATTGTCTATACTACTGGTGTATGCCAGATTTGATGAAGCTATTCATATGGTTCAACAACTGGGAAAGGGACCATTACTAGCAAAATCTGACATTAAGTCGGCCTTTAGAATTATACAAGTCCACCTTTCTGATTTCGAGCTACAAAGCATGAGATTTGAAGGCGAATTCTATTTTGATAAATGCTTACCTTTTGGCTGCTCCATATCTTGCGCCATATTTGAAACATTTAATACCTACTTGCAATGGTGCATGCAATCCCACCTACCAATGTACCAGATCATGCATTACCTGGATGACTTCCTAATGGGGGGCACAGCTGGCACCAGCCACTGCTAAGACAACCTCACAGACTGGAACTGGAACAGTTTTGAGTATCTATTACCCACGACAGGATGGTGGGCCCCACAACACAACTGACATTCTAAGGGCTTGAGATTGACACCAATGCAATGCAGATCAGACTCCCGGAGTCCAAGATCAAGAAGGTGACAGCGGAAATTCAAGACATCCTGTCAACAGGTAACATAAATGTCACAAAAAGGGAAGGCAAGCGACAACCAAGCCGTCGTTGCAATAATCAACAACCAGTCTACCAAGGCCCCCAGAGTGATGAGCCTACTCCGCCACCTAATCCTGCAGTGCCTCCGGTATAATATTCTGTTAAAGGCATAGTATGTCCGTACCATTACTAACACCATTGCCGATACTCTCTCTAGGTTTTAGCTCAAATGCTTCCGGACGTCAGCACCAAACGCGGACTAGACCCCAAAACCTATCCCCGTTCAACATATGGCAGATCTGAGGCAAGAAGCTCGTAGACTCCTACATCAATCTCTGTCTAAGAACACATGGTCCACTTACCAAAGTCAAAGCCTTACACTAGTCAATGCCTTACACTAGTTCCGGTCCGCACATCAGTTACAGGAGGTGTGGCCAGTCCCGCTGGATCAGGATGTAAACTTTATTGCTCATCTGTCAGTCACTCACCACTACACTAACACAGTCAAGACTAATATTGCAGTGCTGGCTTCACAGCACAAATTCTGTGGGCTCACCGATTGTACAAACAATTTCCTGATGGGCAAGCTATTAACAGGCTTACACAAATCAGCTGGCCGGCCAGACAGCAAAAAAACAATCACTGTAGATCTGCTTTGGGTGGTTTCCAACAATATGCCACACATGTGTTCGTTGGCATATGAAGCCAGACTTTTCAAAGCAGTCTACTGTATAACCTTCTTCGTTTTCTTTAGGGTATGCAAGCTGGTCCAAACTGGACCCTCCAAACCAGGTTGCTGCATTCATAATTTAAGTTTCTCGGGCAACCCCCCCAACAGCTATCAATCCATCTCCCAAACTCAAAAAGTGATCAGTACAGTACAGGGTCACCTGACACAATGTCATCTATACCAGGTAATCTGCTATGTCCCATAGTTGCCACCCAGCACTATCTTCAGGCGCACCCCTCTGGCCCGTAACATGCATTTGTTCATTTCGATTATTCCACCATTACAAGGTACAAATTCCAGGCACTCCTTAAAAGGCCTTAGCACACAGCAACATAAATACTGCTTCCTATTCTTCTCACTCCTTCCGTATTGGGGCGGCCACATCAGCAGACAATGAACGGAGGTGCCCGAACACCAATATGGCAGGTGGAAGTCAGATTGTTGCAACGCTTACATACTCTTACCAACATATTTAAAGCAACAAATCTAATTTAAATATTCAACACATGGTCCTTACTACACTTCTTATTGTTTACAGTTTGGGTGGTGGGTTCCAGCTACATGGCCAGTGCACGGCAGTACTTGCTTCTTCAGGGCACCAGTCCGGACCAACCGAGGATGCTATGGCTGGCGTGAAGTTGAATGAGGTGGAAGGAGTTGGACACCATCTTAGGTCAAGGTGACAAAGCACAGCCCCCGAGCCATCATCATTCACCTGGGCTCCAACATCCTGTGCCCAGTCAAGGGCAGCCAACTCTTCCTTGACATGGTGGCCTCAATCCTTCAGATACGACTCCAACACCGGGATCATCATATCGTCAATGCTGCCCAGGCGCTATTGGCATGATGCCAGAGATCCAATAAAGATTGAGGGGATGTGGAAGAACATTAACCTCAGGCTAGCAAACTGTGTCAAAGAGCTCTGTGGAACAATAGTGCCACATCCCCAGATCCTGGCATCAGACAGAACATGGAATGCCTGGGAGGGCGTCCATCTCAGAGACAAAGGACTGTGTGTGTTTACAGACAATTTTTTTGCGTGCCCTGATACTTGTTTTGCACTAATAGAAGGGTGTTATCTCCAAAGGTCAGTGTTTGTTTTCACTACATAGGCAAACTAGGCGACAATGCTATCTCCGTGCATCACCTGACCGTGGGTGTGGGGTGGCACTTTGTTGCTGTGTGACGTGGGCTACCCTGCTGGTAACAAATTCACTTGCTTCCAAATTTATACTTCAGGCTACCTGCTTTTCAGCGGGAACCTTTCCGGTTTACCTGCTTCTCAGTTGTAACCTTGTCTTTCCCGTCTTTTCAGCAGTGGAATGATGAAATAGCTCACGTTGGGCAACCAATTGCCACATATATTGGCCCAGCAGCAGTAGCTGACATTTTGGCTGGTGGCGATAGCTGCCACAATTGTTTTATTACCGTATTTTCTTGAGTATAGTGCCCACTTTTTTTCCCCAAAACACAGCTGTGTAGAAGGGGGTGCGCATTATACACGAATTAATGAGTTTTGATGTTTTTCCCCCATGGAAACACATTACCGTGAGCACATAACACCGGAAATACCATGTTGTTGACTGAAGTACGCAAATTAGTCATGTAATTACACTGTCTGGCTATAAAAAGTGTTCTTTGTATATCTGGACTTATGTTTCTAACTTATTTTATTAATTTTATTCAAAATTCCTTTTTATATTGTTTCAATTAATTTTGGCGAAATCGTGTGTGCAGCGATCGGAAGATCGCATAACTCACTGTTATTAACAGCAACCACGGTCAGATTACCGCTATTGATGCCTTAAAACAGAATTTTAGTTGAAAGAGAATGGATACATATATCATAAATGCCATACTGTGACTCGTTAAAAGTCATATTTGTTTTTGTTGGACGATTTTATGTCAACACGTAGTTCTCGCGATCATGTGCACGGGAGCCTTGACGGTGACTGGTCAGACTGGTTCCATGTAAAAAATAATACCCGGCAATAGCGATCACCTGCTTCGCTTAGGGTTATTATTATTTTAAATAAGATATTCAAGATATTGGAATATATTATTCCTGATAAAAAAATAGTTTCAGATACAATTTTTGCCGATCCTTTCATTAAAATCCTGTAAAGTTATATCATTGGGTGTGTCTTGACCGAATCACCGGTAGATTCCAAGAAAACGTGTGTACAGCTGATTGCTGTGTCCGGCTTATTTTACGAGAAAATACACAAGGTAATCTTAATCCCTGGATATAAAACAATGCCTAGCAGAACAAAAAATACAATTGAAAATTTAAATTTAAAATTTGTACTGACCAAGTTTTACATCACCCGTTCGTTTGCCGAACTTCGCTAAAGGGGTATGGTGTAAAAAAATTTCTGCGCTTGGTATTCGAAAAAAAAAATACCATGTTGTTGACTGAAGTACGCAAATTAGTCATGTAATTACACTGTCTGGCTATAAAAAGTGTTCTTTGTATATCTGGACTTATGTTTCTAACTTATTTTATTAATTTTATTCAAAATTCCTTTTTATATTGTTTCAATTAATTTTGGCGAAATCGTGTGTGCAGCGATCGGAAGATCGCACAACTCACTGTTATTAACAGCAACCAAGGTCAGATTACCGCTATTGATGCCTTAAAACAGAATTTTAGTTGAAAGAGAATGGATACATATATCATAAATGCCATACTGTGACTCGTTAAAAGTCATATTTGTTTTTGTTGGACGATTTTATGTCAACACGTAGTTCTCGCGATCACGTGCACGGGAGCCTTGACGGTGACTGGTCAGACTGGTTCCATGTAAAAAATAATACCCGGCAATAGCGATCAGCTGCTTCGCTTAGGGTTATTATTATTTTAAATAAGATATTCAAGATATTGGAATATATTATTCCTGATAAAAAAATAGTTTCAGATACAATTTTTGCCGATCCTTGCATTAAAATCCTGTAAAGTTATATCATTGGGTGTGTCTTGACCGAATCACCGGTAGATTCCAAGAAAACGTGTGTACAGCTGATTGCTGTGTCCGGCTTATTTTACGAGAAAATACACAAGGTAATCTTAATCCCTGGATATAAAACAATGCCTAGCAGAACACAAAATACAATTGAAAATTTAAATTTAAAATTTGTACTGACCAAGTTTTACATCACCCGTTCGTTTGCCGAACTTCGCTAAAGGGGTATGGTGTAAAAAAAATTCTGCGCTTGGTATTCGAAAAAAAAAATTCTCCAGTGATTCAGTTAAAAAGTAACCAATGAATTCAACTTCAAAGAATCTTTTCTTTTTTTTGCAGTTACCTAACAAACTTTTTTTTTCCATCATCATTTTTATTCTTTTCTTTTTTTAAAAACTTTTTTATTGTTCCCGGAGTTGTAGATTAATACAGTATTCCGTCAAAGACATATTTCGGATTGCATAGAATGGCACAATACAGGGTTAAAGGGTTGGAAACAATCATTGTCCTATTTCAAACCAAAACAGTTGCAACACACAATCAGACTCAAACATATCATGTATCAGTGAGTGAACGAGTATGGTTTTACGCTGCTTTTAGCAATATTCCAGCAATATCACGGCGGGGGACACCAGAAATGGGCTTCACACATTGTACCCATGTTGGGAATGGAACCCGGGTCTTCAGCGTGACGAGAAAACGCTTTAACCACAAGGCTACCCTACCCGACAGCCCCTATGAATGTATCAACAGAGAGCTACGAATCAAATGCTGAGAATAAAGGTTACCACTTTTTTGTTAAAGTTATTTAACTTCAAAGACTTTTGATGCAATGGTCTGAAGAAATGGTATCTGAAATTATTATTTTATCAGGAATAATATATTCCAATATCGTGTTATTTTAGTTGCAGCTTCCACTATATATACACTTAAAATTATAAGAATCATAAGCATAGAACTTTGGTACAGGTGGTATGCAGGATATTTTTTTTTACGTATGGAACAATTTGACCAGTCACCCTATAGGAACTTCCCGCGCGACATGTATTTCAATTGCGGAAACATTATGTTGACATTTAATAGTCAAGCTGCCTTAAATATGACTTTTAGCGAGTCATGGTAGGCACTTATGATAAGTATATCCATTCTCTTGCAACTAAAGTTTGTTTCAAGGCGTCAATAGCGGTAATCTGACCGTAATTTCTGTAAATAACGGTAAGTTGTCAGATCTAACGATCACTTCGCATGCAATTTCGCCGAAATTATTGTAAAAATTATTATAATTATTGAAAGAAATCTGTAATATAATTAAAATATATTGCAAACATGAGTCCAGACAAACAATGAACAATTTGTTTATAACCAGATATTATAATAATAGGATTAAATTGCGTGCTTCAATTCGTATTTGTTGACCGGTATTTCCGGTGTTACGTGATCGCGGTGATCAGCTGAGTTTATGTTAATACATTTTGAGAGCCATGCTTTACCGCCCGCTATAACCCGAGTTAGTGCTATATTGAAGAACACAGCGAGGGAAGCTGTCCCAGGCCATGAGCAGTAGCTGCTAATTGCAAATGGCAACGATAGCTTTTTCGTATACCCAACTAGCAGCTTAGTGGCCAACTAGTAACAACACACCGTTTAATCCACTCTCATCTCGTGTTTTTATTATAGGCACGGGCATCAGCAACTTGAAGGCTTCTTAATCATTGGCTCAACCACTGCCTTCTTGAAACAAGCCTGTACAGTTCCTGTTGACAAACATAAGTTGACAATCTTTGTGATCCACATTCAATATTCCTAAATGGAATTTTTAAGGTACTGAGTCTAAAGAGCACGACTTCGGCTTTGATGCAGTGATGAGTTATCAAGAAGTAAGAAGAATGAACTTGGAGCCCTGCATAGTCTCATCAAAATCAAATAAAGATATAGACATCAGGTTCGTGAGATTTTGGTCGATTGACAACTCGACGTCAACAGATATTTTCCAAATCGTTTCATGTTTTTAGTCAAGCTGCTCACATGATTTGATGCACTTCGCAAAGTAAGACCCGTTTTATTACAATTTCTGAGATGTTAAAAGATCAAAGGCTCTGACAGTACTTTATCCTGTGACAAAGTACATTTTTTGAGTTACGTCATAATGGGCCGACATCACAATGCTGTTCAAATCACCACCTCCATGATCTGACATATCCTTGGTAACATCATTCTTTCATTACTGTCATTACAAGATGGTGCATCCATGAAATTACTTTGGGGGCCGCAAGCCATATAATGATAGTTTACAGAATGATTGACTCGCAAAGCCCCTTCCGAGCCAGCCCCTTGGTGGAGATGGGGATGGATGGAGGGTTGTAATGACAGCTGAGAGAACAATGGAAACAGCTGAACGACATTGAGGCTCTTGTTGTTAATATAGATAAACAAAATGACGTCACATCCGGAGTACTGAGCATGTTCTGTAAAAAAAATATTGCATTCTGGGATAGAAATAGTAACTTGATACAGAGAAGAAATGTGATCGTTTATGGACGATTCTGAATGATAAATGACAACTGGAAATAAAGGGAAAAACCTTACGTAGGTGACAAATATATACATCTGTTGTGTAGACAATGTTAATAATAGGTGAAAGGCCATGTTGATCACTGCACAAACAAAAATATAAAATTAACATTTTGTGCAGTGACAACAAAAACAATTGAGTACGATCAAATGTTTATTATATACAAGACATTAAGAGAATTAAAAACTGAATCCAATGAGTTATATTATCCAGGTAATGTCACAGAACAAGAGAACAGTGTCAGGAAGCACTGATGAGTGTTAGTTGCACCGATAGGAATAACAGTTCAGTCATGTGGGTTGAGGCATTGGAAGCAGAATAATGTAAGTCACAACACACACGTTGGTCAAGCCTCAAGTGAAAGAGTCACTCATAGCATAATGCTCGTTGGGCTCTCCTTAATGTCTCTTCTGGTGTTCTGATGTATCTGGTGAAACAGTCTGAATTCCACCTGCCCAATGTTTTAATCAAATGATCTTCCACACTGGCACTAGCAGCTGTAGTTGCTGCACCAATGCGGGATGAATGTCCAGAATAAGCACTGGATTCTA